TACTACTACTACTACTACTACTACTACTGACTACTACTACTTCTACTCCTAAACTTTCTACTACTTACTCCTCCTACTACTACTACCCTACTACTACTACTACTACTACTACGGACGACTACTACTACTACTACTACTACTACTACTACTTCTACTACTACGACTACTCCTACTACTCCTACTCCTACTACTACTACGTCTACTCCTACTACTACTACTACTACTACTACTACTACTACTACTACTACTACTACTACTACTCCTACTACTACTACTCCTACTAGAATAATAATGATAATAATAACAATAACGTATTTAGTGGCAAATCTATGTAATTGATCTGATATAATGAATGTATTAACTACAACTTAAAGGAGCAATTTAAAACTTAGTGTGTGTTGAGGTAAGTTAGCTAGCTCTCTTACAGATGCAGGGAAAGGGCGAAGCTCACCTTCGAAAAAAGGTGTTGGAAAGGGGGACTGGATGGGAGAAGGGGGCGGGGGGGGGTGATTCAAAAAGCCTAACCTTCTCCTTTCCCGCGACGCCCTTGCATACACTAAACACATTCTCATTGTGTGGGAACACAATTGAAATGCCATCATCCCCACTAGTAATTAAATTAAGTCGCCACAAAGGACACACTGGTGCAGCAGCTATTGGCTGAAGGACAAAGCGTGGGAGAAGAATTATCAACATCATAATCGCCCCTGTAGAACTTTCGTGGCTACAGCTTTCGTGGGGGCATTTTTGGACACCCGGTGTCCATTCAATTTAAAGGTTTTCTGCACTGATGGGTTTATTGCAGCTGCTTGAATCTTCAGTAAGAACTAGCGAAGTTTTGTTGTTCACGCATACAATATTATATTCTATTATCAAGTGTCTTTAAGCTCTTAGTTTATTTTGCTGCTACTGCCGCCAGCACTACTAGTGTTGTCGTTGTTGTTGTTGCTGCTGCTGCAGCGACGACAATCACCACCACCACTGCTGCTGTTGCTGCTGCTACAACTACCGTTGTCATCATCACCACTACTACTGTGGTACTACTCATACTCTTGCTGCAACTACTACGACTGGTACTCCTGCTACCACAACTACTACTAATACTTACCACTTTTACTACTACCACTACAACCACTACTACAACATTAACAACAACAATGACAACAACTAACAACACTACAACTACTACCACCACTACGGCAAATATGACGACCGCAATCACCACGACCACCACCACCACCACAACATAACAACAACAACAACTAATAACAGCTACTACCAGCACTACGGTGAATAGGACGACCACAGTCACTACGACCAACACACCACGACCACAGTCACCACGACCACAGTCACCAAAGACCCAACACACACCACAACCAACACACCCACGACCAAAAACCACCACGACCAACACAACACGACAACACACAAAACAACCACCAACACCAAAACACCACGACCAACACACCAAAACCAACACACCACAACAAAACACACCACAACAAACACACCAACACAAACACAACAAAAAAACAACAAAAACAAAAAACCAAAACAACAAACACACCACAAACCAACAAACACGACCAACACAACAAAAACAAACAAACCAAAACCAACAAAAAAAAAACCAAACAAACACCAAAAAAACCACACAAAAACAAACCAAAAACCAAAACAAAAAAACGACCCAAAAACACACAAAAAACAACAAAAAACAAAACAAAAACCAAAACACAAACAAACAAAACAAAACAAAAACAAACAAAAAAAACAAAACACACAACCCCACAACAACCAACAAAAAAACACTAAAACAACACAACCAACACAACACAACACAAACCAAACAAAAAAAAACAACACCCACAACACAAAACAAAAAAAAAAACAAAAAACACACAAAAACCACCAAAACCAAACAAAAAAAACAAAAACAAAAAAACAAACCCAACAAAAAACAAACACAAAAAACACAACAAACAAAACACACAACAAAAAACCAACACACCAAACACCAAACAAAAAAACAACCAAACAAAAACACAAAACAACAAAACAAACACAAAACAAAAACACAACAAAAAAAAAAAACAAAACCAACCACAAAACCACCCAAAACCAAACAAAACAAAAAACAACCAACACAAAAAAACACACCAACACAACCACAAAAACACCACAAAAAAAAAACCACAAACAAAACACACAAAAAAACAAAAAACAACAAAAACAAACCAAAACAACACCAAACAACAACAAACAAACACAAAAAACCAAACACAACAAAAACAAAAAAACAAAACAAAAAACAAAAAAAACACACACGACACAACAAAACAAACAAAAACAAAACAAAAAAACAACAACACACAAAACAAACACCAAAAAACACAAAACCAAACACAAAAAAACCACCAACACCCAACACAAAAAAACCAAACAAAACCACAACACCACACAACACGAACAACACAAACCAAACCAAACAAAAAAAAACCACACACACAACCACAAACAAACAACAACACAAAGACAAAAAACACTCAAAAACAAAAAAACAAACAAACCAACAAAAACAAAAACCAAACAAAAACAAAAAACACCACAAACCCAAGTCAAAACCTAAAACACACAAAAACAAAAAACACAAAAAAACACCAAACACCAAAAAGAAAAAACACCCCCACAAAAACCACACAACACAAAAAAAACCAAAAAAAAAACACCACAAACCAAACAACCCACAAAAAACCACAAACAAAACACCAAACAACCAACCACAAACAAAAAAAAACAACACACCAAAAAAACAACACCACACACCAAAAACAAAACAAAACCACCCCAAAACGACCACAGCACAACCACAAACACACCAAACACACACAAAACACAACAACCACACACAAAACCACGAAACACACCACACACAACACACACACCAACACCAAAACCAACACACACGAAAACGACCAACACAAAACCAACACCAACAACCACACCACACGACCACACCACCAACACACCACGACCGACACACCACGACCAACACACCACGACCAACACACCACGACCAACACACCACGACCAACACACCACGACCAACACAACATAACAACAACAACAACTATTAACACTACATCTACTACCACCACTAAGGCGAATAGGATGAATCACTACTATACCAATATCATCACCATCACCACTATCATCACCATACTTATACTATCACCATCACCACCACCATACCTTTACCACCACAACCACCACCACCATTCCTATACGACCATTACCACCCCCCCCCCACATTAATGTGTTATATGCTCCCCTTCTCTTATTTGACTCCTCCTTTTTTTCCCTCTTACATCTCTGGTGTTAACTTTCGTCTGTAGCTATTAGTTCCTCGTCGCCTGTAGCTATTAGTTTCTCGTCGTCTGTGGCTATTAGTTCCTCGTCGCCTGTAGCTATAAGTTCCTCGTCGTCTGTAGCTATTAGTTCCTCGTCGTCTGTAGCTATTAGTTCCTCGTCGCCTGTAGCTATTAGTTCCTCGTCGCCTGTAGCTATTAGTTCCTCGTCGCCTGTAGCTATTAGTTCCTCGTCGTCTGTAGCCATCAGTTCGTCGTCGTCTGTTTCCTTCTCTATCTACATTTTTAGCATTCTTCTAAAATTTAATTGAGAAGATAACACCAGGAAATGAGTGAGCGCCAGTCTCACAAGCCTACAGCCAGGATGACTGACTAACAATGCCGTAGGAGAGGGCTTGAAAAAAAACAACAACTTTAAAATTGTAACAGAAATTACAGTAGTCACGACACTGTCTCGTAACTTCCCATAAGTGTGGTGGTAATCTTTCAGCTGTCAGTATGACGTCACCATATGTGTCTGCATCGTGATGTCACGTGCTTAACACTCTTGACATCCTCAACAACAGTACTGACAGATTACAAGACTACGGCTTGGTTACTGTGTTTTCTATCACACTTTTAAGAATATTGTTGTGGCTAGTGTTTTGTGGTATGTGGTAGCCAGCACCACTTTCAAGCTACCATTAATCGTCTCTTACGGCATGCTCGGTGGCGCGCAGCATTAGTATTCTTTATTTTCTCGGAGAGGACACAGGCGCTAGTCTGCTATAGTCTCTGATATTTTAATTCCACAATTTTCTGCAGCAGCGAGTGCCAGACAACGCCTATATACATATTAGTCGCGTTAACACTTGCCGCAACGGCCGACTTTACATAACCGTTGCAATAGACACTCACTCAACAGCGTCAAGAAACTATCTGGATGTATTCGGTGCTAACATGATTCAAATTTATCTGGCCTTCTTGCGGCAATATTTACTCCCGCTCTAATATCACGCCACATTTTCTCCTTGAGTAGTCACGTTTTCGGCAAAAGGAGAGGGACTGGGTGGTAGGCAGCATCACGATAAATCGACAAATCCCGATGGGCACACAATAAAAGAAAAGAATTAAAAAAACTAAATTAATTTTCTAAAGTGAAGGTTGGATCGCACGATATGTTGGATTCCTGGGTCGATCCAGCGCCATGTTGTAGTCTGAGACAACACTGAGTGAAAGAATGCTTCTGATTGGCTGGGCTGAAGTCTACACGGAGAGTATAGCACAGTGGGCGCGACCGTGAAACTATCACATATTCACATATACGCACACAACACCTGCACACACACACACACACACACAAGATTACCATCCACACATGATAGCATACAAACACATGACTACGACACACACACACGACCACCTCATATTCGACCATCACATACAGACACACACGACTCCCCTACACATGCACACGACTACCTCACATTCGACCATCACACACAGACACACGACTCCTACACATGGACACGACTACCTCACATTCGACCATCACAAACGGACACACAAGACTCCTACACACGCACACCACACACACGACTTCTACAGACGCCACACACACAAGATCACCACACATTCTACACAACTTACTTCATCTGCTTCACGATTGTACTCTTTCCGGATTCGCCGGCACCTGCAAGGGAAAAGAAGAAACAAGCCTAAGTGATGGTGTCGTACAAACAAGGTCAATGTTTACAAGGTCAACAATGATGATAATAATAATATTAGTAAATCTGGTTCTTTATTATTATCCTACCCACCCCCCCCCCAGATGACGTCACAGGTCAGTCCAACATTTTAGAGGTTGGTAAGACTGGGTTTCTGATGCTTTTAACGACCCCAAAACATCTTGAACTGGCCCTAACCCTAACCCGCCTACGTCCCACAAGAGAGTGCAGCTTAGTTCCCACGACTGCCTGCAGCCCATCTACCACCCCCTGAAATATTAAAAATGTCCCATGACCTGTGGATTTCCCCTGTTTGGGGTAGGATAATAATAAAGCAATGTAAATCGTATTATGTTTTGCTTTGCTAGATAAAAAATCCTTACGTTCAATCAGCTTCCCAGAAAGGGGAGCTTTAAGTTATAATTGTGACTAGTTCACACTAGGTCCTCTTCTCTAATCCCTGTCCCCATGTGGGACGAATTTTTCGTTATTTTGAAGCTCCACCCTGGCTGTTGCCGGGGGCCCTAATATAACCTAAAGGTTGAACGCGGCTTCTAGGACATCTCCACGGGTGATCCTCGTCCGAATGGTATCACTTTTTGTGTTCATCGCTCAGTGTGATATTCTAGTGGGGTTAAAAAGTCAGTCAGCCAGTCTTCCTCTTCTCTACTACTCTTCTATACTCCTGGAATAGCCTCGCGAAGTTATGGCAGAAAGAGATCTGTGGATCTCTGGTTGACCTTCTCTTCCCAGCTGGTAACACCAAGTGTTTGCAGATCTGTCTGGATATTATCTCTCCATCGTCTTCTTTGTCTGCCTCGTGGTCTACGAATATTCAGTTCCCTCATGTATACTGTTATTACCTCTCTGTCATCTGACATTATCTCAATATGCCCCAGCCACGTGACTTATTGTAAAGATGGTTCAGTGTCAAGAAGCAACAGAAGTGCCCGGTGGTATTAGCAAACGATAATGGTCAACTCTTAAGAATGGGGGTGGAGGCGGTCACTGCAGCTTTCCGCTGGCTAGAGAACACGAGACACACACACACACTTCGTGATTGTAACTGACTTAGAAAGCTGAGAAAGGTAAGGACAGGCATGACAGAGTGGCAAATTTTGCTTCGTAGGTCAAAGGCGAAGAGCATTGTCTGGATCTTTTCTCCGTTGCATGCCGGTCTTTTACAAATCTTGTTCTTCTTTTTTGTGTATGATGGACCTGTTATGATAGACCTGTGTATGAAGTGTGATGGACCTGTGCATAATGGATCTGTGTATAACGGACCTGTGTATAATGAACCTGTGTAAAATGGACCTGTGTATAATGGACCTGTGTATAATGGACCTGTGTATAATGAACCTGTGTATATTGGACCTATGTATGGTGCACCTGTGTATAATGAACCTGTGTATAATGGACCTGTGTATGGTGGACCTGTGTATGTTAGACCTGTGTATGATGGACCTGTGTATGATGGACCTATGTATGGTGGGCCTTTGTATAATATACTTGTGTAAGATATACCTGTATATGGTGGACCTGTGTATGATGGACCTGTGTATAATGGACCTGTGTATGAAGGACCTGTGTATGAGGGACCTGTGTACGGTGGACCTGTGTATGATGACCCTGTGTACGATGGACCTGTGTATGATGGACCTGTGTATGAAGGACATGTGTATGATGGCCCTGTGTACAATGGACCTGTGTATGATGGACCTGTGTATGAAGGACCTGTGTACGATGGACCTGTCTATGATGGATCTGTGTATGGTGGACCTGTGTATGATGAACCTGTCTATGATGGACCTGTGTATGTTGGACCTGTGTATAGTGGATCTGTGTATGGTGGACCTGTGTATGATGGACCTGTCTATGATGGACCTGTGTATGAACGACCTGTGTATGATGGCCCTGTGTACGATGGACCTGAATAAGACGGACCTGTTTATGAAGGACCTGTGTATGATGGACCTGTCTATGGTGGACATGTGTATGCTAGTGGTGTTTCTTGTGACGTCCAGTTGGTCATGCGTCGAGGTAAACTTATTCCTGCTGAATAGCTCTCACGTAGAGACGACAAGTTCTCACGTAGAGGCGACAAGTTCTCACGTAGAGGCGACAAGTTCTCACGTAGAGGCGACAAGTTCTCACATAGAGGCGACAAGTTCTCACGTAGAGGCGACAAGTTCTCATGTAGAGGCGACAAGTTCTCACGTAGAGGCGACAAGTTCTCACGTAGAGGCGACAAGTTTGGTTCACGACATAGTCTTGATCGTTTTTGATATTTGTATTGTCTATTCTCACAACTCGACATCTTGATATTTGTATTGTCTATCCTCACAATTCTACATCTTGATATTTGTATTGTCTATCCTTACAATTCTACATCTTGATATTTGTATTGTCTATCCTTACAATTCTACATCTTGATATTTGTATTGTCTATCCTTACAACTCTACATCTTGATATTTGTATTGTCTATCCTCACAATTCTACATCTTGATATTTGTATTGTCTATCCTTACAATTCTACATCTTGATATTTGTATTCTCTATCCTCACAACTCTATATCTTGATATTTGTATTGTCTATCCTTACAATTCTACATCTTGATATTTGTATTGTGTATCCTCACAACTCGACATCTTGATATTTGTATTATCTATCCTCAGAACTTTACATCTTGATATTTGTATTGTCTATCCTTACAACTCTACATCTTGATATTTGTATTGTCTATCCTTACAACTCTACATCTTGATATTTGTATTGTCTATCCTCACAATTCTACATATTGTTTTCAGGTTATGAGGTTTAAACAACGGATCAACATCATGGCACACGGGTGTAACCCATAAATGCTCCATTCTACCTCTGACTAAAGCCTGAGCCTGAAGAATCTCAGCGCAGTGCACGAACTCTGTAGCACCGGCGAGGATCTTCAAATACTTTGGGTAGATTTTAAACTCTAAATTTTGCCAGGCAGCGATGTTAGGCTACTGTTTTCGATTTCTAACTGCCAAATAATTTTTTTACGTGCGCAACAATACACACCGGCTTCCGATCTCACTACCCAGAGACCAGGGGACATTACTAGAAGTCCACGTGAAAAAATCTTCACCTGGGCCTGAACCCAGGACCTCCGGCACTTAATGCGGACGCTATGCCTCGTCTACATTGTGTATCTGCATCTACGAGTGTGAAAGAAGAGCATATGGTAAATTGGAAACTTCCGTGGTAATCACGTAGCTAAATTTGACCTTCTGACGGTGCGATGTATGGTGTATCAAGTGGCGTTGTGATGTTTGTATTTCAGTGGGAAGAAGTATTTTTCTTTACTTCATTATATGTTGATGTTACTTGTTGTCCGGTTTAATATCTTATTAGATTGGTGCAGGGGAGACAAGCATATGAAACAGTATCTAACTAACTTAAGAATGGAGGTGGAGGCGGTCACTGCAGCTTTCCACTGGCTAGACATTACAGACATCATTTTTGTAACTGACTCATAAAGCGTACTCAGAAAGGTGAGAACAGATATGCTGCGTGCAGAGTGGCAAACTTCACTTCGAAGGACAAGGGTGAAGAGCATCGTCTGGATTTTTTTTCCGGGAATTCCGGTGTGTTGGGAAATGAACAAGCTGATATAGTGACTGGCTCTGCAAAACTTAGTTGAATACTGATGCATTAAAAATGCAGACGGAGTTAGGGCCTTGTGGGGGGGGGGGGGGGGGGGGGGACATGTACAATTCAGAGAAGAAAATGAATCATCACAGTCTGGTCAAAGTGATATAGCGAGGACTGAGGAGCGGGTCCTGTCGATACTCGATGCTAAGGCGGAAAATAAGACAGATATATAATCAGACTGCTACTAGTACAATTGCTATTGGCACTCTAAGCTGACTGCTGAAGCTAAGGACGGGGCGCTTATGGAAATGACATCCATCGAGTGCTATTATGTCAGTTCTTGAACCAATTCATCTCAGCTTATCTCAAAATCCTAGCATTTAGGTTCGATATCCTATCGCGCGGAGTCCACGGATGTAGCAGCTATCTCACTGTCTCCATGCTAAACCTACTCAGTTTACTGGCATATCGTTTTTCTTTGATCTGAAACCGATTTCTGTATACTTGTCACTTTGTTATGGCTATTTGCATAAGCGGTTCATCATGTCTGACCACTTTCTCTCAACGTCCCCAGAATGCAGCGCGTTCAGTATGTATGCCCTGTCCATACTGCTTCTTCTTCTGCAGATACATCCAGTCTGCGGCTCTTTCACTTCAGATACAGCCAGTATGTGAGCTATTTCTCTTCAGCTACAGCCAGTCTATGGATTTGTTCACATCAGTTACAGCCAGTCTATGGACTTGTTCACATCAGTTACAACCAGTTTATGAACTATGGGCTATTTCACCTCAGATACTGTCAGTTTATGGACTTTCTCACTTCAAATACTGTCAGTCTATGGACTTGTTCACTTCAGATACAGTCAGTCTATGGACTTGTTCACTTCAGATACAGTCAGTCTATGGACTTGTTCACTTCAGATACAGTCAGTCTATGGACTTGTTCACTTCAGATACAGTCAGTCTATGGACTTGTTCACTTCACATACAGTCAGTCTATGGACTTGTTTACTTCAGATACAGTCAGTCTATGGACTTGTTTACTTCAGATACAGTCAGTCTATGGACTTGTTCACTTCAAATACAGTCAGTCTATGGACTTGTTCACTTCAAATACAGTCAGTCTATGGACTTGTTTACTTCAGATACAGTCAGTCTATGGACTTGTTTACTTCAGATACAGTCAGTCTATGGACTTGTTCACTTCAAATACAGTCAGTCTATGGACTTGTTCACTTCAAATACAGTCAGTCTATGGACTTGTTCACTTCAAATACAGTCAGTCTATGGACTTTTTTACTTCAGATACAGTCAGTCTATGGACTTGTTCACTT